GTACAGTGCACCGTTTTCCAAGGAGCAATGCTTCAAACTCTCGTCATCAAGCTACGCTCAGGAAATGGAAGCTGCACGAATGCAGACATCCTTTGAATGCGGAGGATTAAAGGCCGTACTATCCTTGGCTTGTTCTCAAGAACACATAAAAAAGGAGATGCCCGCAAACAGCAGAAGGATGGGTGTTCAGGGTCAGATTTGACCTTATAACTACAGCATAGGCCGAGGTACTGTTTTTGTTTTTCTAGTAGCATTTGGTACGTCTCTGCATACAAACTCAGGATAGGCGACGCTCGGAAGGCCCCCATGGCAAGTCGAAGTCCAAGGTGATGGACAGGATCTAGCATTTTTAAAGATGACGGTCATGCCAAGCCATATACAACCGCACCATAGTTGAGTCGGGAACGAACCAGCAAGTTGTAGAGTCGCAGGAGGCACCTCCTGTCAGAACCCCAGGACATGTGTGCAAGTACTTTGAGAACATTAGCAGATTTAAAACATTCGCTTCAGCTCCTTTAGATGGGCCTGCAAAGTGATCTTCTTATCAAAAATAACACCGAAGAACTTGTGTTCATGCCTAATGGTTATGTCAGTGTCATTCTTTGCAAGCTGGGATCTAGTGACAACCCCCACGTAATGGGAAAGGCACGCACAGTTTTTTTCTGGTGCAAACCGGAAATCATTTTTATCGGCCCACTTACTCATCTTATTTATTGCTACCTGAAATTGGCGCTCACAGATTGACAAGTTGTATGAGGAGAAAGCGATCTGGACATCGTCTACATACAACGAATAAAAAACTGATGGTGGTATCACTGCAGCAAGGCTGAAGAGAGTGGCCTGCTTAGCCCGTGCATCGAGTGGCAAACAATAATCATCTTCATGATAAGAAACGGCCAAGTTAACAAACAATCTGGTGTCTTCTCTCAAATACAAAACTGCTTCAGCTTTAAACAAACAGAGGTTGTCACAGACGTGAAGAGTTGACACTTATGGTTGCCCCACACATCCAGCACTGAATTCAAGAAGAGTGGTTGTTTGGGCGAGTTGGTTTGACATCTTAGACAATCTTGTGCGCAACAAAGACGAGGACAAAAGCAGAAAAGAGGACACAACAAGGTCCTCTTCTCTGCTTTTGTCCTCGTCTTTGTTGCACACAAGATTGTATAAGATCCAGCACTGACCAAGCTTCACACTAAACGTTTTCTTTTCAGCCTTTTTCAACGAAACCCTAGCCCTCAGTAAACAGTGTTTGACAGAGCAGAACACATCTAAACAATATGCCCATTTCAATTCCTGGTGCACATGAACAAAGCTAGCATGTTAAAGATCTAAGTCGAAAACCCATTTACTGCACCTTCAGAAAAGCCTTGCTGGCCACCCCAGCCATTCCAGTTAAGCCGGCCCAACAATAGTTACAAGTAGAGCACCAAAACGTTCTCAGAGTACCAAAGCTCCCGAGCTTCGTTTTAGAATCGAGTCGCGGCGCAGCAGTCGTGCTCCAACCCGTCTCGAAATGGAGCTGCCTTGTGCGGTCGAAGTGAGGCGCATACAGGTGGCGTTCGTTCTTGGCGAGCTCCTTGATCCACGTTCCTGGCCTATGGCAACACTGGTTTGTTTCTATTAAAGTTTTCTTCTTTGTTCCGAGCGGTGCGCAACTTGCTCCTTGCTGTCTCCTTTCTCTTGCCTCGAAACACATTGAAGTCGAGTGTAAAGGCCCGTTCACACTTAGCGACCTCTTAAAACTGGGTTCCTTGAAACCTCTTACAACGAGAGGACACACTGGCACCACCTATTGGGTAGCAGTGTAAACTTGGCGGTCCGGCACATTTTCTATTTCTCTGGTGCATAATACTTTCTTTCTTGGCTGGAAACCTTTTGTCAACGTTATAAACGAGTCCTTCTTATAGGTACTACGCACATTTGACTTCGGAAATCCCGCAAAACCTTCGCTCTTGTGAAATGCAGTTTCAGTGTCACCGCCTAAATGGCACCAGCGTGCCAGTGTGTTCTCTCGTCCTAAGAAATTTTAAGAGGTTTCAACAAGTCTCGTGTCTCTTGGTCGTACTCGGTTGCAAGAGTGTGAACGGGCTTTTAGGCTTATCGTCTGAAGCACAGAGTTTGAAACGCAGCATCAGCGTGATCGGAGCGAGCAAATGAGCTGGCAATCTTCTTTGGCGAACCAGATTAGCGGCTACTTAATATAAGAAAAAAAGATCTAGAGAAAATCAACGGACCTTCCGCTAGATCCTAACTCATCGATGGTCAGATATCCCACCCAGGCGAACCCGCCATAGCTGTGGTAATGCAGAAACGTTTTATACATATTTTTTGTTGCTTTGGGCTCCAAAATGGCCGACTGACAATTTCCGCCACAGGCTAAGCCAGTTAGTCAGAACTGGATTCTGCAGGATTGACTCCCGGTAAGCGGACTGAATGGAATTCGGTACTCTGGGAACGTTCAACTCGAGACCTGTATAGCTACTACGGAGCAGAGCAACGCAATCCTTTGATCCGCGTGTTTTGCCGTCAGCATGGCCAACAGAGCACCTTGGTGCGAGTCACGTGGTACTCAGGGTTCCAGGAGGCGGCCTGCCCTATGGGAGAACACATGGAGATCGACGCAACACAGCTGATTAAGAAATAAACGGCAAGTTCAAACTTTTCAAAACTGGTCTGTTGTGAAGTTGGTAAAGCACTAAACACTTTATCAAAGTTTTCATAATACTGGATGCGTGTGAAAACTTTGAGAAGGCAATTTCCAAGGCAATGACGTTTGAAGCAGACGATTGTTTTACGCAGGGCAGATAGACTTTATAGGTTAGCCGGAGCAGGTCACGTGAACGATGTGACGTCGCCGCGTCTGCTGCATGATGCCGCTCAGGCAATTTTTAAAAAAATTGTGTTCTTACATGGCACACAACTTAGCGCAAATTATGGTAAACTGTTCCTTTGTTATGTCAAAAACTATTGTCATTCCGTACATCCCCAAAATATTCAAGAAACAATGATTTTCTCACGTTCCCTATGCATATCTGACCGGAGTTGGAACCGGGCGTTCGCCACTAGTCGCCGAGAGATGGCGTCCTAGATTGCGCTACTCTGCTCCGAAGGAACTATATAGTGCTCTATGTTCAACGACTCTAGTTAGAGCCACTAAGCAATGAAGTATTTCAGGGACTCCGCATCTCTGACGCATGGCTACTGTGTTGAAAGTCCGCGCGTGCCTTTTTCTCTTGCTCCCGTTCGTCACTGGGGGTGTGTGAATATTTGAGTTTCTAACTTGAAGTGAACAATGACTATCCGAATAATTCTATTCAACTTTCAGACTTCTAGTATCCAACTTTTCGAATAACTTGATACACTGAATATAAGCACTGCTGGCAAAAATATAGGCCTATTCAGGAACATAATTGATATGGTTAAACAGCGCAGTATCCCTTTCAAACGCCGGGGGAATGTGTAAAAGAGTGCGCAATGAAAAAGGAGGATGGCACGAGACCCGACGAGGGACGAGAACGAACGCCGTCGGAGTTGGAGAGAAGGGCAAGCGAGATTGGTAACCAGCCTCGGCACTTGGGGGTCAATACTCGAACTAAGACTGGGTTGCCGAGTCTCGTGCCCACGGGACTTCCGTTCAGGTACAGCACCGAGAGTACCCAGGGCTGTGACAAGTCAACTTGATTTTTGTCCAACAAAAAATGCCCTCCAAGGAAGTATCCCAAAGACCCGGATGCCAATGCTCTACCGCAAAGCTCCCACCCTCTGCTAGTAAGTGCAGATAACAGATCAAAAGGAATGCCAGCAATGCACCAATGCCGCCAGCAAAGGTCAGCAAACAACCCAAATGGACACTTCTCATACTCTGCCGTAAATAGTTTGATTTATAGATTCCTTTTTCTTGCGATTAGCTCCTTTCTCATCTTACTAATTGCTGGAATTCATTTTGGACTCATCTTCCTTTATTTACGATCATTATCGTTGCTATGAACCTCGTGACAGAAACGCTTAGCAAGGGGCAAGTCCTCATAAGTGTGCCGTACAGATTGTCTCTAATTTCCCAGAACGTGCCACACTGATCCGTTTACCGCATATGTATTTAAATGCTGCCTCGCGGCTCGCAGCTGGCACATTTAGTTGCTGGCAGCGATCCTGCAGCGGCACAGCAGTGGAGGTAGGGGCGAGAAATGCCTGTTCCATCGTAAATCGCCCTGCACTCGGCCCGTCAAAGGAGGCTCGAACAACTATGAATTGGGACGGTACGATGACCGCAGCCTCGATGCCCGCTCACCCATTTCGCTGGCACATTTACGATGAACAGCCATAACCGTGGCAAGTGAGCAAACGTGCCGACAGCTCTTGTCACCGATTCGGGATTATTTTGAATGTGTGGGCGGAATTAGATACCAAAAACAACTGCCAAAAATGCATTTCAGGTGCTGTAGAATCTCTGCTAAACGACACTGTAGCGACATTTCCAAAAAAAACTGTACCTGGGGTGCTTCGTGCGCTAACAGTATGTTCTTTCCTAAAATTTCGTACAATGGCTCTAATTAACGAGAAAAATTAACGTTAAAATTTGATTAAAAGGAGCACGTGTAATTAGCACTTTCGGTTCAACACGCGCAGGGCTACAGCTGCGGTGCCGGAACTTTCTTCTGCACACTGCAGACGGTAAACTGCCTTGAACAGGCCACAATGACCGGGTCGACGTGTGATGGAACGTGCGAATGATGTGGAGAAATGGTTGTGACATCTGAAATGACGACCCACAAATCTAAAGAAAAAAAATGCTGTTTGCCCCAGGCCGGAGCAGCATTTCACTCGGGCGGCACAACTTTCTGCATATAATTGCAGCACCTTGCGTATATTTACACTGTGGCTCCAGCAAGTAGGGACTTACAGACATCAACCCCCTTCAACCACAAACTGTGTGGGGAGGATGATCTGTCCTGCACAAACAACATTAAAGATGAAAACAATTTAGTGAGTTAACTGGCCTTGATTACTAGGAGGTCGATGGTCCTGATGTCCCTGACATGCTTGTTTCTGAGGAACTCTTGGTGGAGCTTGGTGCGCCCCTGTTCAGCAGTCACCGGGATGTCATACATCTTGACTGGAACGAAAGCAGAAAAGAAGGCTCTATGATGTGTCTCTAAACCTAAATAGTATTAAGAAAACAAGGCAGGAGAAAAGGACAACACTGAGAGTAAAGAAATGAGACAAAATGTGATATTAACGTATCTTATTACTATTTCCTTCACAACAATTTGCACTGATCTTGTAATGTCCTACCATCTACACTTCACCTTAAAAAGCCACTGAAAAGAAAAAAAAAAGTTTTTTTTAAACAGTTTGTAAAAATGTAACTTAAAATAATTTTACAGGGAAAAAAAAATTTTTTAGAGCAATATTGACGGCGTGAGACGCAATTTAGTAGGTAGTCACCTCTTTTCCACTTGTTTCCTCTCTCGGCATTTCGAGCATATGGAGGAGAGGTGGATCGGCTTGGCCATCTTGCGCTGTCAATGCTGCTCTAAAAATACTTTTTTTTTGTGCGAAATTTATTTTTTGACACGCGTGTCCCAAACTGTTTAAGAAAATGTTGTTCTTCTTCAAATGCCTTTTAAAGGGGCACTGAAGTCGATTTTGAGATCGTCCTTTTGTGGTGACAACTCAATCTGGGCACTCTAAGCATTCCAACAAACCCGAAATCACAATCGTACAAAGCTTATTCCCTCGTTAAAAGCGTGTTCAACAATCGCGACACACCCTTTCTGGGAAGAATTTTCTTCCGAGTGAAGTGGTCGACGAGGGGCGCTTGTCGGCAAGTTGCAAGCGATGGCTTCACCCACGGTGAAAAAGAGGAGTCTCATTTGAATGAGTACCTATCAGACTCTTTTCAAAACGAGTTACAATAAAATCATTCGGAATCTGCACATACTGTCCGACTTTCACTGGTCCACACAATGTAGTCCACGAGAAAAAAGAGTTCACGTTTTTCTACTGCCCCGAGATGATTGGCGGTTTAGTAATATAGGACTTAGTATACGTGGGAACTAACAGATTGTAAACAATATAAGATCAAAAACGACCTTTGTCAAAAATGACTTCAGTGCCCCTTTTAAGAGAGCATGAATCCTGTGTTGTTTTTCTTTTTTTCCCTTTCAAAAAAATACAGATGGCCAGTTCTGCTACCTAGAAGTCGCTAAAACAACCATGATTGTGCAAGCGGTGTGAGCCGGTCTGCGGGCTATGCCATGTCTTTAATAAAAAAAAAAGTAGACTCCTCAAATGTGCTCTCTCTCTCTTGTGCATGTGCCGTTTGGTGCGGCTTTGAGTGTGGCATAACCCGCGCTGCTGAGCGCGCATGCAGGGAAGATGTGAGGTTGCCGCAGTTAATGACAGGCATCTTCGGCCACTCCACGGGGGCCGAGATCGGCCTCTGCGCTGTGCTGTTTTGTGCAATGGCACTTGCAGCTGCTGGAGGTAGGGTGCCTGGGAATCTGTCCGCAACAGTGTGGAGACATTCTTCTCTACATCAAGTGCCCCTTAGCAGAAGAAAAGTGCCACTTAGCAAAAAAAAGAGTCGCGTGTATACACCAACTCATGTTTACAAACAAACCGGAGCGCCCCTAGCGGACGTCACCGGCGCCGCGCATGCGCCGTGGATGGTGGGCAAGAAGCCCGCCGTCGCCCATAAACAAACCATTGAATTGCGTTGTTGTCGGCGTCGGTGGGAGTCCCCGTGCTCTTTTTCGCGTTGGAATTGTTGATTCTACGTCCTCCTAACAATGTCTGACTACTTGAGCGGCTTCAGCAAAACTATCGAGGCAAAACTTTGCGTGAATAATGTGACGTGCGGCGATTCATTTCACGTGGACGCCGCAGAATAGGCGCTAAAGCCTGACTCCCACGTCGAGATTCTGCTCGCTAATTTCAGTCGCGACGTCGCTCGGACTGCAAAAGCGTGGACCGTAGCTGAGATGGTGGACATCGATACTGAAAACCTCAAGTAGAATCGGGCATTACAAGTCGGTGATGGCCACTGGTAACAATGATCAACAACTCCTTGTATCTGTTTACACTTAGCCGACTTACCCCAACCAACCTTCAAAAGTGTTTTGAGGCCTGCACTTAGTTCTTATCGCAATTACCGGGTCAATGTTTGGTTTACGAGCCGCTGTCGTTTGAACGAACTGACGACAAAAAGCAGCCAAGTTTGAAAGAGCAGACGACAGTTGGAACGCACGCGCAATGGAGTACGGGCAAGAAGCACCGCGTCCCGCGTCAACAAACCATTCGAATGTCACGTTGTCGGCGTCTGTGTGAGTCTGCATACTCTTTTTCGCGTTGGAGTTGTCGATTCTACGTCCTCATCGCAATGTCTTATCACTTTAATCGCCTGAGCGAAATCATCAAGGCTCGTTACGCTGCTAAACTTTGCACAAATAATTTGACGTGCGGCGATGTATTTGCATGACCGCCGCAGAATGGACGTACAAAACCATGATGAGACTCTTCTAGCTATTTTCGGTTGCGACGACCCTCGTGCTGCAAAAGTGTAGAAGGTAGCGGCGATGATCGACGTCGATACTGAAAATCGGAAGCGGGAACAGACAAAGCGTAACAAGTAGGTGATGGCCACCGGTACCAATGATCAACATCTTGTATCTACTGCTTACACCGAGCCTACTTAAGTCTTTTGAGGCCTGCAATTACTTCTTATTGCAATCACCGGGTCAAAGTTTGGTCTACGGGCCGCTTTTGTTTGAACGAGCAGACGACAAAAAGCAGACAACTTTGAAAGAGCAGACGAAAGTTCGAACGATCAGGCGGCCGTGTGAATTTGAAGACGCACTGAATCCGTGGGTGGTCCGGACAACTTGGGGGTTTTCTCTCGGTCATGTTGGAACAAAGCAGATACATCTGGCGACTACAAATTGTGGCCCGCACACGCAATCGTAGTTCGACAGCGTCAGGTTTGCCCTTTTCACGGCTGCTATCGACGTTCTCGGACGAACGGAGGGTGCAAAAACACATGAAAACTGATCTTCAAACCTTCCCAGACTCTCTTTGTAAAGCCCCCATCGCAGCATTTTGACGAGAAGGTAGGTTTTTTGTCTCGTTTCTTCCAAAGGAACACAGGAATGCATGTCTGGCACGGCGACTTCTGCCCACCGCCCCAGACCGGAAGTGCGCCCGGCGCGCCACCACCGCGGCGTGACGTAGGAGAGTTGAGTTGGTGTATATGAAGACACTACTCGAAGGCTAGGCTTTGCCGTTTTCCAGCTGATCGCACGCCATCTGTGTGTGGTCGGTTGTAAACATTACTAGTTTGAGCATAGACTCTGGAGTTGCTGAACAGCAGCCGCATGATTTTCAAAACAAAAAGAAAAGACTGGTCTTTTTTTCACGACGTTGCTTTCTAGCTTCCGATTTTTATCTCCAGTGACGTACAAGTATCGCCTTTGGCACTGGTGTCGCTAGCCTGTCTTGAATTCGGTGGAACCTCCTACGTCGCACGTGCATCACTGGGGCAGGTGTGTTGCTGGGGCATGTGCTAACCCTCCTGGCCCACCTGATCATGCCGCTTAGGCCCGCTTCAGACGGAGCAACTATTGCAGCAATTTCGGGGTTGCTGGCGGGTTGTTCCCTCGTACACGCCGCTTCGTGGCAACCACTCGTACATGCCGCTTCGTGGCAACCAAAGTCCCAACCATGGAGGAGGCTCAGCCGTATTTAGGAAAGGCCAGCAACATCAGAACCTTGCCTTTTTCGGGAGCGTACTTTGCACGAGCGACTGCGAGTCAGTTTGGCATTTTATTATGGTCATACTTGTGGGCACCCTGGCGGCTCCCCAGCCCAGTCGCCCGACTGCGAGGCAAGGGTGCCAAACTTTTCCCGCGTGGCGGCGACGTCACGCCAGCCACGCGCACGTCGCGTGAGCCGCCTCGATAAGGCGCATCAGAGGCGGCGCACAGGGAGTCGCTGCCTGGACTCGGGCACCGGTGGTAACCATGTTAATCGTCTCGTCCATGTCCAATTAAATGTAGTTTCTTGTTGTTGAAACCGTTGGCTCCGTGTTATTCCTCCGGGTCGGGTATGCAGCAAGGCAAACCGACCACAATGACGCCCAACGTGGGGCATGACGCATGAAAGCATGACGCTCGACTTTTCTGGTCGTGGATACCGGCTGAGACAACAACCGGAGCTGACTCCGTTTACCGAACGGGAGGACTGCATCCCTAACCCGACCACTGCAGCCCACTTCACCACGGTGCCAGACGTCTTGCCTGCCGGCGTTAGAGAATCGTTGCGAAAGTGCCCCGCAAGCAGCCAGCAGAAGCAGGAGCTGCAAGCCGTCCTGCAGTCTTTCTAACCGATGTTCACGGAAACACCTGGAAAGACTGACATCCTGCTGCACTGCATTGAAACCGGTGACGCACCGCCTCGGAGGTGCAACCCTCGACCGATCAGCGTCCACAAAAGAGCACTCCTTGATGCGGCGCTCAAGGAAATGATCGACACCGGTTCAGTACGTGAGTCGAAGAGCCCCTGGGCATTTCCCGTTGTTCTCGCTCCGAAAAAAGACGGAACAGCCAGACTCTGTGTGGATTACAGGCGGCTTAACGATGTGTCCGTACGACACAGCTACCCTTTCCCCAGCATTTCCTCTGTGATGTACGCGCTCGGTAACGCGACCGTGTTTACAACGCTGGATTGCAGTCGCGGGTTTCTTCAGATCGAGATTCACCCGTCAGACGTTCCAAAAACGGCTTTCATCTGCCACAGAGGGTTGTTCGAGTTCACCCGACTGCCGTTTCGCTTGTCTAACTCTCCAGCCAGTTTTCAATGCCTGATGGATGTTGTACTTGGAAACTCGAAGTATGAATTTGCCATGGCATACATGGATGACGTGGTTGTTTTCTCGAGAGCTATTGAGAAGCATGTCGAGCACCTTTGGATTGTACTTGAACGAATGCGTAATGCTGGGCTCACGATTCCTCCCGGAAAGGTTCAGTTGGCCGCGCCCAAGATTAACCTCCTTGGATTTGTTGTGGATAACGGCACGCGCCGCCCCAACGAAGATAAGTTGCGCGCGCTAACGGAATA